TTTATAAATTAATTTGGGAATTTTTTTCAGATCTGTTTTTTTTTTCTTTTTAAGATGGCTGATTCATATTTTATAGAACTCTTGCAATTTTTTGATTGTTTTGATTTCTTACTGTAGATCTACCTTTCATCATATTTGTACTAAATATCATGTTCTTTTTTTTTCGTGGAAAATAATTCTATTATTGAGGTCTGAACTGGAAATAATACATATTTTTATTTTATTTTGATATTTGTCGTGACCAGAATGCATATTAATTCTTTATTTTTTGTTTTCTTGCAGCTCGAAGGAGAAACCTACTCTCGGGTATGTGTTAACTATTATATGAAAGTATTTAGCCATAATTACCGGCAATTTTGTGTAAAAGAATCTAGCGCGTGACCTTGATATTAATTTTCTTATGTTTATAAATTGAAATTTAATTTGTGATTTTGGATTCGTTTAAAGTTTCTTGTTAATTTTAATGGGATTGTCAATTGTGTTAAGGTAATTGCGTAATACAAATTTTAATATTTCTATCCTAGGACATTAGTTTATATTTCTATTTCATTTTGATTTTTCTTGGATTTCATATTTTTTGATTTTGTTTTTCTGTTATATTGTCCGAAATAATTTGGTTGTAGTAACCGTGGTACGTGGATCAAGACCCGCAAACGGAACATTGCTGCACCACTGGACCCTGCATCATTTTCGGATGCAGTGGTCCAGATTTATTTGGATAATGCTGGTGATTTGGTAATTTTTCGTCACTTTGTTTTACATAAGTGTTTTTTTCTCCCATCTTTGACCCTCATTTAATTGGGTGCATGCATCCACTATCAGTTGGGTGGGTGCAGGATGTGCTAAGAGATAGCTTGTGGAAATGTGCAGGAACTTGTTGCTAGGAGCCTTGAGTCTTCGGACCTTAATTTCTCTAGAGACGGCTATACTTTTTTTTTTGAGGTAAGCATATTTTTTTTGTTTTGTTCAGTTTCATAATATGATAGCTTGGAATAACTAGCATACTTTTTCCTTGTTATTTAGCATTTATTATTTTTCCTCCCACATGATAAGCAAAAACAAAAAGAGTACTATTTTTCATTCTATATATGCTCGCAAAGTTAGCTTGCCATGGACAGAAATGAAGCTGGTTTTGCACACAGTGGATATAAATATTGTTGATGCTTGCTTGTATATGAGACTACATTGAATAAAAATACCGTAACAGAAGATCTTAGTATCTTACATAGAAGGCCATCCTTATTCTATAATTGACTGTGAGCCTAAACGTGAAGTCATTTTACCATACCATCTGTAATATGTATACAGAAGATCTTATGTAGAAGGCCATTTCTTATAGAGAATCTTTAAAATGTTATGCAAAGATTCCTGCAGTCGTTGGAACTTTTTGAGGAAAATGAAAGAAAGAAGCTTGCAATTTTCACTGCCCTTGCGTTTTCCCAGAAATTATCTGGTCTTCCTCCAAAAACTGTGTTCCAGCCTTTACCAGAGTTCAAATTTGTTCAAATTTCTCCTTTTTTATGTGGCATGATCCACTAGAACAACACATCAAAGTATTTAATTTGTTATTGTCTATCAGGATATGCTTGTGTAACATGCTCTTTGTGAATTGTTCCAGCGTTTCCGATTCATCAACTATTGAACTCTTTTTAGAATAATCTTAAGCCACTTGATTTCTTGTGGGTTTGCTTATGATTGATGTTTAAAATCCCTTAATGCATACTTTAGTTTTTGATGCTGCCGAGC